ATGAAGGTATCTATCATTAAGATCTAAGTGTATTAAAACCCTCTGGTCAAATTTACCCACCGCATTAATTCAAAAATACCCTCAATAAAAAAAAATTGAGCCGAATGTTGATGCCATTTCCTTTGACTTGACTGATTCTGAGTCATTTATACAGTCTAAGGCCCTGTCCACACGAAGTCAAGCTCAGGCCTAAACGCAAAAATACTTTATCAATCCAGTGTATCGTCCATACGAGGCCGGCGTTTTGGGGGGGTGTAAACGAACATTTTTTAAACTAGGTCCCAGAGTGGAAAGATTTCAAAACTCCGTATATGCCGCTCCGTGGTTACTGCCTCTCCGCAATGTATCTGAGACGCTTGCGTCATCGCCCCGCCTCTTGTTAAAGCAGCATGCGACGCACTCAGAAAATAATGACAACAACAATGTAGCTTGTTGGTTTTGTAATCCAGTGTGACCCGAAGCAACAGTTCAACCTCATCGTCCGTCCATACTAATGTAGTACCAGCTCGCCCACTCGCCATGTTGTCTGTTTACTAAATTCTGCACATGCCCAGTTCCCGTCACGGAAGTTTGGGCTTGATCCCGTCATTGCGTCACAGCGCCACCAACAGGTCTGGCATAGTTTCACAGCGTTTTCAGGCGTATTGACTACATTCATATGGACGCACACATTTACTGAGCTAACTCCGTGTTTACAGAAAAAGTTTCTGAAATTATAAGCGTTTTGTCTTCGTGTGGATATAGCCATAGACCCTACTTTTAATCATCTGTGGTGGGTAATTTTGACTCGAGGGCAGAACAATTCATTCGTAAACAGCTTGGGGTTGTATGCGATATGCAAGATGATCTTTGTGTCTACTTCCTGGTTTGTTTCTATCAGTAGTTTTCACATGGATTTGGCCTTTGATCAGATTTTGGCAAACAGAAAAGTTAAATAAAAACAGGTCTTCCATCTGTCCCAAAGTTTATTCTTTTGTCTATGTCACTGTGACCATACCAGATCCTGTCAGACCTCTGAAGCTAAGCAAGGCAGGGTCTGGTTAGCACTGTGATGGGAGACCTCTGGGAACAGCAGGTGCCACAGTGGAGCGGCTGTAAAGTGCCTTCATCCACATTGGAATGAGAGTGTGTGTGAATGGTAGGCAGTAAGGCACCAGCATGTCCCATCTCGCTTCTGTCAGTGTGCCCCAGGGCAGCTGAGGCTACAGTAGTAGTTTATCACCATCGAAGCGTCTGTATATATAAAACCAATGCATAATAATGTGGAGCTAACACGGTGCGTTCTGATTTGTTCACAACAACTTAATTTTGCAAGCTGTTAAAACAAAAAACATGTACAGTATTATTTGTGAAACAGAGAAGTTAGGGACCCCAGCTTTAACACCTGTGTCCTTGTCTGTCTAGTTACCCAAACAGCAGTTAGCATTACCAGACTCGAGCTCTTTTCCAACTGTCACCATGAGGAATAAAAGTAAGTACCATGACAAAAGTGTGATAAATGTGTGAAATGTAATGTGTAATAACATATGTGTCTTTCTGGTATAGCTGGTGCCACCAGGGAGCGTCCATGGTCGGCCATCTTGTCCCCTGAAGATAGTTCGTCTCTGATAATCCCGTCTCGAAGACATGCCAGCCTCATGTTTCACGGGAACAATCTTTCTAAAAGTCTGTCCATCAGTAACATCGCCGGGTAAGTATTTATACTTTGAAGGCCTTACTACTATATGTGTACTATCTTACTACAATTCTTGGGTTTCATTAAACTGGCCAGTAGGGGGCGCATGAGCAGAGATGGGACAGTTTTGCTCCCATTGAAAACCATGTAAAGTCTGTTTTGGAGTCAAAGGCTCTCCTCCTGTGCGGTGTACGGTTGTTGGAACAGTCTTAATCGAGGACACTCAATTCTAAGGGAGTACTAATAAATATTTCTCAAAAGAGTCTTGATTTTGGGCATTTAAAAAAAAAAAAAACAGAAGAAATTGCTGCGTTTCATTGGGGTGGCCTGCAGGGGGCGCTTATCTGGGAAAGCCTTGATCCACCTCCGCCTCATTCCAGTGATTTTCTCAAAGTGTCTTCCTTTATATGAGACCACAGTTGGAACATGAACAAACTCTGTCTTTCTCTTTATTTGTGCGGTTGCTACAAGCGTACACCGCACAGAAAGATGCTTCTTCTTCTACTATATCTCCGTGTATAAACCTCTTCTTCTTCTACTATATCTCCGTGTATAAACCCTTCTTCTTCTACTATATCTCCGTGTATAAACCACTTCTTCTACTATATCTCCGTGTATAAACCACTTCTTCTACTATATCTCCGTGTATAAACCACTTCTTCTACTATATCTCCGTGTATAAACCACTTCTTCTACTATATCTCCGTGTATAAACCACTTCTTCTTCTACTATATCTCCGTGTATAAACCACTTCTTCTACTATATCTCCGTGTATAAACCACTTCTTCTTCTACTATATCTCCGTGTATAAACCACTTCTTCTTCTACTATATCTCCATGTATAAACCACTTCTTCTACTATATCTCCGTGTATAAACCACTTCTTCTACTATATCTCCGTGTATAAACCACTTCTTCTACTATATCTCCGTGTATAAACCACTTTTTCTACTATATCTCCGTGTATAAACCCGGCAGACTGCAGCGCCAGGATACGTCACGTCCTGTCCTACGTTTGTTTTTCACTGCCCTGACGTCGTACGAAACCCAAGAATATGTATTCTATCTTACCATATGTGTACTATCTTACCATATGTGTACTATCTTACCATATGTATTCTATCTTACCATATGTATTCTATCTTACCATATGTATTCTATCTTACCATATGTGTTCTATCTTACCATATGTATTCTATCTTACCATATGTATTCTATCTTACCATATGTATTCTATCTTACCATATGTGTACTATCTTACCATATGTGTACTATCTTACCATATGTATTCTATCTTACCATATGTGTTCTATCTTACCATATGTGTACTATCTTACCATATGTGTACTATCTTACCATATGTATTCTGTCTTACCATATGTGTACTATCTTACCATATGTATTCTATCTTACCATATGTATTCTATCTTACCATATGTGTACTATCTTACCATATGTATTCTATCTTACCATATGTATTCTATCTTACCATATGTGTTCTATCTTACCATATGTGTACTATCTTACCATATGTATTCTATCTTACCATATGTGTTCTATCTTACCATATGTGTACTATCTTACCATATGTATTCTATCTTACCATATGTATTCTATTGTCAGGGATTTAGCAGACAGAGACGGATCGTGGTGTGCCAAACTCTGGAAGTTTATTTACGTTTCTCTCAAGTTCCACTAGTTTACTCTGTTTCTTTCTCTCAGACAGAATAAAGGCAGTACACAGTTTATATAGTCATTGTCACGTCACACATCGAAAGACATACGTGTCACAAAGAGACAGTCACATCATAGTCATAACATGGAGTCCTTGTAGAGTCCTTGTACAGTCCTGCACGTAGGCCATATTGCTATCTAATACTAATACCCTCCCCTTTGATCACATAATCACATGTGATCACTCAATTTGATCAATCAATAAAGTGGAAAAAGAAAAAAAAAAAAAATCTAAAAAAACTTTAAAAAATTATTAAAAAACAAAGAAAATGTATGCATTAAACTCATAATCATCAAAATCAATATCAGTGGATTTTATCCTCTATCCTGGGAAAAAACAAAACAAATATAAAGTAAAAAAACAAACAAAAAACAAAACAAAAATAAAAACAAACACACTATTGGACACACAAGAACTCAGCAGATTCAGTCAAAACACAGACAAAAACGAGCTGAGTCTCAAATTTGAAGCTAATTTAACTTTTCTTACTCTATACTTTTATTCTAATGCTGATTGTTTACACTTCACTTATTTCACTTTTCAATCTTAGACTGTGTACTTTACTTTTACTATTCACTATAGTTTAAAACTATTCTAATCTATTCACAAATATGTTTGTATATTTGCTTATATTGAGCCATATTCTTAAACATACATTTTAATCTAATAAATCTCTCTATACTGTATTATACTCTCATTATCAGTGGCATATTGTTAGTGGGATTTTGTTCTATCTCTCTTCTACATTCTCAGGAATAAAACTGTGAACACAGTAAGGCAAATGGTCAACATTTACACTTCTATAGTGGTCAGTGATTTATTACTTTTTATTATCTAAAGATATTATTGTCAGGCATTTGGGATGAATGTACATCATTAATCAAATTAGTATTATCCTTACAAGAGCTAATCTATTTTAGCAGGTTTGGGGTTGGGGTCAGTTATTATTATTCTACAATGGTGTTTGTGCTGGAAACTTCTCAATATCTAAATATCTACTATTGTGTTTTTGTGCTACACCCAAATGCATCAAAATGCTTTTAAATGCTTTTGAATCTCTGTTGGTTCTAATCTATCTCATTGATCTAGGCATTAATCTAGACTACACTCATGAATTTTTTGTATTGTCAACATTCACTCATGTTTGAACACAAGTGAATTTGGCAAGTATCTAATAAAACTGTACATAAAACTGTAAGTAATTTTATCTACTTTTGAAGCAAAGGTTTGTGGAATGGTCCCTTTACCATTCAAATATTAGCACTGGCTAGAAATAATCTCTATTTTTGAAAGCATCTATGGTTGATGCATTTAGCTATTCCTATTTGTACACTATTGTGACTCCAAAGCTCGGTTGCAGCTTGAGCAAAGGCATATTCCTAATTTGTGACTTCTGTCACTTTTAATGGCTGTAACATAACTCTGATTCTAATATTATAGCTGATCTATCAGAAGGATAACATTGTAGGGTACTATTTTAACTCTTATGTGGAAATGTGTTTATGAACAACAAAGGAAGGACAATTCTACTTTTTTACTACTATTTAACATCTACTAAAACGCTACAATACTCATACTTTATCATTTTCAAAGTTTTTGTCTGTCAGATGTCTGAATACTTTACATGTATTGCATTTGGTCACAGGTTCTGGTTGTAGCAAAAGCATCGGCAATAGACGTTTTTTCATTGGCTGGTTCTTGTTCTGCAAATGGCTGTGTCCAATAGATCATCAGATGTCCAGAAGCTAGGGACAAACAAAAACAAAAGAAGAATCATGAGTATCTCTCTCATTTAGCACTCATCAATGTATGATTTCAAAAATATAAACATCACTCCCCAGTTTTTTCTCTCTCAGATCCTCAGGTCCTCAGGTCCTCAGGGTCCCCTGAGGGTGAGTCTCAGTCGTCATCAGGTCAGGTCATAGAGAGATGTCATCCTTGACATCAGAAGGGTCCAAGCCATGGTTTTGGTCTCTCCAGATGCACATCAGGATCTCCAGATACAGTCTTTTCACTTGAAGCACATCAGGTCATTTGCGATGCACTTCTGGTCAATGGTGCAGTGTCTCAGTTCCTGTACACAGCTTGTAATGCAGTAGTTACTCTCTATGGTTAAGTCACTTTGATTCTACTTTAATCAATGTAATTACTTCACACAGTACAAAATCAACAAATCAAAAGTGTCAGGACAGACGTCAATTAAGTCCATGACAATATAGAATTCAAATGAACATTTCTGGTCTCAAAAAATACAGATTCAACTAAAGACTCAAGTGATAGACAATTAAAAATATGTGTTTACATTGGAGTAAACTTTTAAAATGCTTTTTTCTCATGTTCTGCTTTTTCATGTATCTATATGTAAATATGAATGTGTGAGTGTATGTATGTATGTGTGTGTGTGTGTGTGTGTAGGGTGGGAATTTTGGGGTTGTGTCTCCAGACTCCTCGAACCACCTGTAGGTCTCAAAGGTCACACTGTGGTGATGTAAACCAACTGGACACACTTTCAACTCTCATCCAGGTCTCTGCCTGATGCTCCACCCATCACGTCCCCAGATACCTCTCTTTCATGGCCCCGGTCTCTCTCACACCCACTCAGCTCTGCAGTGGCGTGGGGAGGGGCAAGGAGGTGGCATTTCCCTTTGCTCTTTGATCTGTGACCTGTGGCTGGGTGGGCTTTGCTGTCCAGTGTCCAGCAGTGACCTCTCGTACAGTGTGTGCCCTTGGTTCCGGAAAACAACCTTATAGTCAAATTAAAAACAACAGAGATTGTGAATGAGATTGTTTTTCTCCCTAAAGTCAAAACAATTTTGGAGCGCTCTGGGTTTTCCCACATGCGCTATGTAAATAAAGATTACTTATTATCTTACTAATGATGACATTTGAAGACCAGAAACTCTTTCTTAATAAAAAACAAGACTCAAATCTCTTGAACCTTCAACCTTTAAAATATGTATTATGTACTTTTGCACTGTGTGATTAATTATCTATGAACATTTATCTCAGCATATATTCTACTAATTTAAAATAATTGTGGTATTTTTCAAATGAAGTCAGTATGAATTGGAGCACATTTTAGAGCCAGGCTCCTCTGCTGTGTTCAGCAACAGTAAGGTCAGGCGTGTAGTCAAAACAAAAACAAAAGTCACCACTTGCAAGGTGAATTGGGTAGTTTAACTTAATAATACTTTTACAGCCTAATTCCCTCTTTCTTTTTTAGACGAAGTCTATAATCAATAATCACTTTTAACACAGATTCTAATTTAAATGTTTGAAAAACGGCTTTTGTAACTAAAATAAAAACATAAAAAAATTCTCACAAACAGCTATGAAATATATCAGAGATACAATAATGGACTCACAAAATAAGCAGCAGATTTAAAAGAATGGAATCTAGAAATATGTTAGGTCTAAAAAGAATTGCACAGCTTTTAGCACTAATATTTGGGTTTCAAAAACATACTAATATTCAAAACTTATTCACTAATGGTGTTTAAAAACGTTTAACTGTGTCTAACACAATGTTCAAATGGCAAATTTCGCAAATTTAACGGAATAACTACTATGAAAAGCCAAAAATCCTAAAAGCAGTAGCTCCCCTTTAAATCAGAGCAGCAGCTCAGCAGCAGCGAGGGCGGGGGGGTTTCTTTCACACAGACGCGCACACACACAGGCAGAAAGTAGTGTTTTAGCAAAAATGCTAAAACAGAAAGAATAATAACTTTCAAGATTACTTTTTTAAGCGAATATAACTGATGTTTATACTTTTGTCATCCAAGTCTAGAAGTGGCCACTTTCCACACTAGTAACAAAAGGCACTCTTACTTTAACGTACGCTTCTATTTTATCGAGGTAGTTTAAACTCAAAATTTCTTTCTAAAAAACAAAAACTGTTGGATACAACCCTCTCATAGCTCAACTGTAGATAAAACTCGGCAAAAAATGTAAATAACTCGCGAAAGCTCTCATAGCTCAACTTTAGATAAAACTCTGTATTCTCCGGTGAACTCTGTTCACTCCAAAAAACAAAAACTCCCTTTTTCTGTATGTAATTTAAACCGTTATCACTGAAATATTGTTGATTCTTTACTTTTGTCATTTATCAGCCTGAAATTCGTCAATTTCAACGCTTTTGTAACAAAGGCCTCCTTAACACGTTTCCCTTTTTATAATTACTTTTAATTTTACACCATGGTTTCACTTATGGATCCTCACTTATGGCCTTTACACTTTATGGATCCTATTCACTTTAATGGCCAACACTTTTCACTTTATGGATCCTATTCACTTTAATGGCCAACACTTTTCACTTTATGGATCCTCACTTATTTGAACACAATTTAGAGAGTTCGACAGACCTCAAAAACAGACCAAAATTTAGCTAGTATCCAATTATGCAGACTTTACATTTAAAAAGGTGTCTGCTTACCTTATTCTTGTCAAACAGGTGCGCACGGGCTGTCCGAGAGGTCTGCCAACTCTTTTCCGCGTCGGAATCTTCAATTTAAAAAACAAAAGTGACAGAAGCGACAAGAAGCATCCAGGAACAGCTCTTCCAGCCTGCTGGAATCTCCGCTCCCAGACGCAGCATGCCGATCTCTCACGCAGAGGAAAAGAAACAGAGCAAACTCCCTCAAAACAATCCAGAGAATGGCACACACTGAGCCGCGCATTCTCCACCAAATCTGTTAGGATTTAGCAGACAGAGACGGATCGTGGTGTGCCAAACTCTGGAAGTTTATTTACGTTTCTCTCAAGTTCCACTGGTTTACTCTGTTTCTTTCTCTCAGACAGAATAAAGGCAGTACACAGTTTATATAGTCATTGTCACGTCACACATCGAAAGACATACGTGTCACAAAGAGACAGTCAAATCATAGTCATAACATGGAGTCCTTGTAGAGTCCTTGTACAGTCCTGCACGTAGGCCATATTGCTATCTAATACTAACACTATCTTACCATATGTATTCTATCTTACCATATGTATTCTATCTTACCATATGTATTCTATCTTACCATATGTATTCTATCTTACCATATGTATTCTATCTTACCATATGTATTCTATCTTACCATATGTATTCTATCTTACCATATGTATTCTATCTTACCATATGTATTCTATCTTACCATATGTATTCTATCTTACCATATGTATTCTATCTTACCATATGTATTCTATCTTACCATATGTGTACTATCTTACCATATGTATTCTATCTTACCATATGTATTCTATCTTACCATATGTATTCTATCTTACCATATGTATTCTATCTTACCATATGTGTACTATCTTACCATATGTGTATTACTATCTTACCATATGTGTACTATCTTACCATATGTATTCTATCTTACCATATGTATTCTATCTTACCATATGTATTCTATCTTACCATATGTATTCTATCTTACCATATGTATTCTATCTTACCATATGTGTACTATCTTACCATATGTATTCTATCTTACCATATGTATTCTATCTTACCATATGTATTCTATCTTACCATATGTATTCTATCTTACCATATGTATTCTATCTTACCATATGTGTACTATCTTACCATATGTATTCTATCTTACCATATGTATTCTATCTTACCATATGTATTCTATCTTACCATATGTGTACTATCTTACCATATGTATTCTATCTTACCATATGTGTACTATCTTACCATATGTATTCTATCTTACCATATGTGTACTATCTTACCATATGTATTCTATCTTACCATATGTATTCTATCTTACCATATGTATTCTATCTTACCATATGTATTCTATCTTACCATATGTATTCTATCTTACCATATGTATGTACTATCTTACCATATGTATTCTATCTTACCATATGTATTCTATCTTACCATATGTATTCTATCTTACCATATGTATTCTATCTTACCATATGTGTACTATCTTACCATATGTATTCTATCTTACCATATGTATTCTATCTTACCATATGTATTCTATCTTACCATATGTGTACTATCTTACCATATGTATTCTATCTTACCATATGTGTACTATCTTACCATATGTGTACTATCTTACCATATGTATTCTATCTTACCATATGTATTCTATCTTACCATATGTATTCTATCTTACCATATGTATTCTATCTTACCATATGTATTCTATCTTACCATATGTGTACTATCTTACCATATGTATTCTATCTTACCATATGTATTCTATCTTACCATATGTATTCTATCTTACCATATGTATTCTATCTTACCATATGTATTCTATCTTACCATATGTATTCTATCTTACCATATGTGTACTATCTTACCATATGTGTACTATCTTACCATATGTGTACTATCTTACCATATGTGTACTATCTTACCATATGTGTACTATCTTACCATATGTGTACTATCTTACCATATGTATTCTATCTTACCATATGTATTCTATCTTACCATATGTATTCTATCTTACCATATGTATTCTATCTTACCATATGTGTACTATCTTACCATATGTATTCTATCTTACCATATGTATTCTATCTTACCATATGTGTACTATCTTACCATATGTGTACTATCTTACCATATGTATTCTATCTTACCATATGTGTACTATCTTACCATATGTATTCTATCTTACCATATGTATTCTATCTTACCATATGTATTCTATCTTACCATATGTGTACTATCTTACCATATGTATTCTATCTTACCATATGTATTCTATCTTACCATATGTATTCTATCTTACCATATGTATTCTATCTTACCATATGTGTACTATCTTACCATATGTATTCTATCTTACCATATGTATTCTATCTTACCATATGTGTACTATCTTACCATATGTATTCTATCTTACCATATGTGTACTATCTTACCATATGTGTACTATCTTACCATATGTATTCTATCTTACCATATGTGTACTATCTTACCATATGTGTACTATCTTACCATATGTATTCTATCTTACCATATGTGTACTATCTTACCATATGTATTCTATCTTACCATATGTGTACTATCTTACCATATGTATTCTATCTTACCATATGTATTCTATCTTACCATATGTGTACTATCTTACCATATGTATTCTATCTTACCATATGTATTCTATCTTACCATATGTGTACTATCTTACCATATGTGTACCATGGTCCTCTTTTCTAGTCCGGTGTTGGACGAGATGCCGATGCGGACCCTCCGGTACCTGTCCCAGTCCACAGACTCTCTGAACAGGACCCACCAGGTCACGGAGTCCATGGAGTCACTCACAGACGAAGGTCAGCAGCAAGAACAAAATATTTGAAAATAAGTGAAATACTGCTTAAAATATTAAAATGATCTGAAAACGAGAAAATAAGACTTGACTAGATTTCTGAAAATAAAAATAAAACTAGCCCCAAACGACTTGATTCTACACTGAGAAAAGAAACATCTTGGTGAGATTATTTTACTAGTTTTAAGATCATAATAATAATAGATAAAAAAGTCTGAGCTGTGAGTTTTAAGTTTGTTTTAATTATTGTTTAGATAAAAGAAGTTTTTGATGCTGTATTTGGGGTCGTTTGGGGCTAGTTTTATTTGATTATTTTCAGAAATCTGTCATATTTTCTCGTTCTACTTTCAGATCATATTTTTTTATTTTAAGCAGTATTTTACTTTTTGTTTTCATATAGTTTTTTGTCATTTTTTTCAAGGATTTTTTTCAAGGATTTTTTTCCAGTGTAGTTTCAAATATTATTTACTTATTCATTAGGGTTAGGGTTGATAAATATTGATAAATATTATCTTAAAAATACAGCATCACAAACTTATTTTCTCTAAACAAGAAAAGCCTGGAAATAATTAAAAACAAATTAAAAAACTCACTGCTCAGACCTTTTTATTATCTTAAAACTAGTAAAATAATCTTATGACAAAGCACATTCAAGCGTGTATTGTATTGTTATTTTTAGTGAATAAATCTCACCAAGATTTAACTTTTTTCAGTGTAAAATCAAGTCATTTGAGGCTAGTTTTATTTTCTTATTTTCAGAAATCTTGTCAAGTCTTTCTCTTATTTTAAGCAGTATTTTACTTATTTTCATAGATATTTTCCTGTTGTAAATAAATGTGAGTAAATGAACTAGAAGCTGCTGTGTCCAGGCACAGAGATGATGGACGCTCAGCTCATGGGAGAGTTCGAGGCCGATGCCAAAGACCTAGAGTTGGATTCCTGGAGTTTAGGAGTCGATCAACAATTTCTGCAGCAACACGACAAAGACCTGGTCAAACGACAAGACGTTATTTACGGTAAATACTAAAACACGGGTCAGGAACCTGGGGCCCGGGGCCAGATGTGGCTCTTTTGATGAGTGTGTCTGGCTCTCAATAGACATTCATAGATCTCTCCATTATAAACATGTTATTAGATGAAAGAATACAGACATGACTAATATCTCACTATCAATGTTGTCCCACAGAAATACATGTTTAATTAATAGAGAATATAGAACAAATGGCATTGGACCTTAGGGAGAGACCAAGGTCCTGAATGTCGTAGAGTCCTGGATCATCACCACAGTCCTTCTCCTTAGACCTCTAACACCGACAGAGAGAAAAACTCTAAAACCCCGTGGGAGAAAAGTGAGAAACCTCAGAGAGACCTACATTGAGACTGAGGCTGTAGATCCAGGACTCAGACTGTAGAACGAGGACTGAGGTTGTAGATACAGGAGTCAGACTGTAGAACGAGGACTGAGGTTGTAGATCCAGGACTCAGACTGTAGAACGAGGACTGAGGCTGTAGATCCAGGACTCAGACTGTAGAACGAGGACTGAGGCTGTAGATCCAGGACTCAGACTGTAGAACGAGGACTGAGGTTGTAGATCCAGGACTCAGACTGTAGAACGAGGACTGAGGCTGTAGATCCAGGACTCAGACTGTAGAACGAGGACTGAGGCTGTAGATCCAGGACTCAGACTGTAGAACGAGGACTGAGGCTGTAGATCCAGGACTCAGACTGTAGAACGAGGACTGAGGTTGTAGATCCAGGACTCAGACTGTAGAACGAGGACTGAGGCTGTAGATCCAGGACTCAGACTGTAGAACGAGGACAGATGTAGGACTGTAGCAGTTCCAGGCGGGGAGGAGGTGCAGCCCACAAGGCGGCATAAAACAGGCAATGGGCCAACGGGTGCATAGCAATGAACAGACTACAGTTAAAATCCTTATAATGCAGACAGATAAAGTAGGAAGGGGGAGAGGATTATGCTCAAGTTACCATTCTTCTCCAGCAGGGGGCTCCATATGCAACAGATTGATTGATAGATATAAGTATAATCAATCCCCCCCCCCCACAGAGCTGATGCAGACCGAGCTGCACCACATCCGCACTCTACGCATCTTGTCGGAGGTGTACAGTAAGGGGCTGCAGAAGGAGCTGCAGCTGGAGACCCCCGTCCTGGACCGTCTGTTCCCGGCTCTGGAGGACCTGTCGGAGCTGCACTCGCATTTCCTGCTGCGGCTGCTGGAGCGACGGAGGGGCTGTCAGCAGGAGGGAGGGGCCTCTGAAGAAGGGGCTTCCGAGGGCCCCGTCGTCATCCACAACATCGGAGACATCGTCCTCAGTCAAGTAGGAGTCAATAATCTATTTATTCATTCTATGTAGTAAATATTAACTTCGTCCAGATCTTATTCAGCACTAACTTTCTTACTAGACACCATTTTGTTTTGTTTTTCTTATTGCAAAATGTATTTATGGTCTTTGGAAACATGTGACATGTTTTTTTTTTTTTTTTTTTTATGTATTTCTTAAAAAAAAAAAAAAAAAAAAAAAGTATTTCTTACTCCCCCCTGGACTGCCACCTTAACGTGGTGGGGGAGTTTGAGTACTCAGATGACCCTGGGAGCTATGCTGTCTGGGGCTTCATGCCCCTGGTAGGGCCTCCCATGGCAGACAGGTCTCAGGTGACGAGTCAGACGAAGCGCAGTCCAAAAACCACCATGGATCGCACTATAATGAGAGCAGTGACGTCGCCCGGCACGGCGCAGCCGGGGCCCCACCCTGGAGCCAGGCCTGGGGTCGGGGCTTGTATGCGAGCGCCTGGTGGCCGGGCCTTAGCCCACGGGGCCCGGCCGGGCCCAGCCCGAAGGGATGACGTGGGCAGTCCCTCCTGTGGGCCCACCACCTGCAGAGGGGTCCGTGGTGGCGCGGTGCTGAGAGGACTGGGCGGCAGTCGAAGGCGGAGACCTCGGCGACCCAGTCCGCACACACAACATCTGGCTCTTGGGACGTGGAACGTCACCTCACTGGGGGGGAAGGAGCCCGAGCTCGTGGGGGAGGTTGAGCGATACCGACTAGAGATAGTCGGCCTCACCTCCACACACAGCTTGGGCTCTGGAACCCAACTCCTTGAGAGGGGTTGGACGCTCCACTTTTCTGGAGTTTCCCGCGGGGAGAGGCGGCGAGCTGGGGTGGCCATTCTCATTGCCCCCCATCTCAGCCGCCATGTGTTGGACTTCTCCCCGGTGAATGAGAGGGTCGCGTCCCTCCGCCTCCGGGTGGGGGACAAGTCTCTCATTGTTGTGACGGCCTACGGGCCTAACAGCAGTGCAGAGTACCCGGCCTTCTTGGAGTCCTTGGGAGGGGTACTGGACGGTGCACCGCCCGGGGACTCCGTTATTCTCCTGGGGGACTTCAACGCCCATGTGGGAGTCGCCAGTGACACTTGGAGAGGGGTGATCGGAAAGAACGGCCCCCCTGATCTGAACCCGAGCGGTGTTCAGTTGTTGGACTTCTGTGCCAGTCACAGTTTGTCCATCACGAACACCATGTTCGAGCACAAGGGTGTCCACCAGTGCACGTGGCACCAGGACACCCTAGGCCGGAGGTCGATGATCGACTTTGTTGTCGTATCATCTGACCTTCGACCGCGTGTCTCGGACACTCGGGTAAAGAGAGGGGCGGAGCTGTCAACCGATCATCACCTGGTCGTGAGTTGGATCCGCTGGCAGGGGAAGAAGCCGGTCAGACCTGGCAGACCCAAGCGTATAGTGAGGGTCTGCTGGGAACGTCTCGCTGAGCCCCCTGTCAGACGGACTTTCAACTCGCACCTCCGGGAGTGTTTCTCCCAGGTCCCGGCGGAGGAGGGGGACATGGAGTCCGAGTGGACCATGTTCTCTGCCTCAATCGCCGATGCGGCGGCTCGTAGCTGTGGTCGCAAGGTTTCTGGTGCTGGTCCCGGCGGCAACCTCCGAACCCGGTGGTGGACACCGGCAGTAAGGGATGCTGTCAGGCTGAAGAAGGAGTCCTATCGAGCCATGATGGTTCGGGGGACTCCTGAGGCAGCTGTCCAGTACCGGCAGGCCAAGCGTGCCGCGGCCCGGGCTGTTGCAGAGGCAAAAACCCGGGACTGGGAGGAGTTCAGAGAGTCCATGGAGCATGACTATCGGTCGGCCTCGAAGAGATTCTGGCAAACCATCCGGCGCCTCAGGAGGGGGAAGCAGTTCTTTGCCAACACCATGTACGGTGCGGGTGGAGAGCTGCTGACCTCGACTGGGGATATTGTCGGGCGGTGGAAGGAATACTTTGAGGTTCTCCTCAATCCCCCCGTCACGTCCTCTGTTACAGAGGCAGAGGCTGAGGATGTTGAGGCGGATACATCCATCTCCCTGGCTGAGGTCACCAAGGTGGTTGGTAGCCTCCATGGTGGCAAGGCTCCGGGTGTGGATGAGATCCGCCCTGATTATCTAAAGTCTCTGGATGTTGTAGGACTGTCTTGGCTGACACGTCTCTGCAACATCGCGTGGCGATCGGGGGCAGTGCCAATGGAGTGGCAGACCGGGGTGGTGGTCCCTCTCTACAAGAAGGGGGACCGGAGGGTGTGTTCCAATTATCGTGGGATCACACTCCTCAGCCTCCCCGGTAAGGTCTACTCCAGGGTACTGGAGAGGAGGTTACGGCCGATGGTCGAATCTCGGATCCAGGAGGAGCAGTGTGGTTTTTCGTCCCGGTCGCGGAACACTGGACCAGCTCTATACTCTCCATCGGATACTCGAGGGTTCATGGGAGTTCGCCCAACCTGTCCACATGTGTTTTGTGGATTTGGAGAAGGCGTTCGACTGTGTTCCCCGGGGTGTCCTTTGGGGGGTTCTCCGGGAGTACGGGGTCGGGGGTCCTCTGCTGAGGGCCATCCGGTCCCTGTATGACCGGAGCCAGAGCTGTGTTCGCATTGCCGGCAGTAAGTCAGACCTGTTCCCGGTGAGTGTTGGCCTCCGACAGGGCTGCCCTTTGTCACCGGTTCTGTTCACTGTATTTATGGACAGAATATCTAGGCGCAGCCAGGGGTCGGAGGGGGTCCGGTTCGGAGACCACAGGATTTCATCTCTGCTGTTTGCGGACGATGTTGTCCTGTTGGCTCCAACGAACCAGGACCTGCAACATGCACTGGGGCGGTTTGCAGCCGAGTGTGAAGCGGCTGGGATGAGAATCAGCACCTCCAAATCTGAGGCCATGGTGCTCGACCGGAAAAAGGTGCCTTGCCCTCTGCAGGTGGGTGGAGAGGTCCTTTCTCAAGTGGAGGAGTTCAAGTATCTCGGGGTCTTGTTCACGAGTGAGGGAAGAATGGAGCGTGAGATTGACAGGCGGATCGGTGCAGCGTGCGCAGTGATGCGGTCGCTGTATCGGACCGTTGTGGTAAAGAGGGAGCTGAGCCGAAAGGCAAAGCTCTCAATTTACCGGTCAATCTTCGTTCCCTCCCTCACCTATGGTCATGAGCTTTGGGTAATGACCGAAAGAACGAGATCGCGGATACAAGCGGCCGAAATGAGCTTCCTCCGCAGAGTGGCTGGGCGCTCCCTTAGAGATAGGGTGAGGAGCTCAGTCACACGGGAGGAGCTCGGAGTAGAGCCGCTGCTTCTCCACGTCGAGAGGAACCAGTTGAGGTGGCTCGGGCATCTGTTCCGGATGCCTCCTGGACGCCTCCCTGGGGAGGTGTTCCGGGCACGTCCCACCGGGAGGAGGCCCCGCGGAAGACCTAGGACACGCTGGAGGGACTATGTCTCTCAGCTGGCCTGGGAACGCCTTGGGGTCCCCCCGGACGAGCTGGAGGAAGTGTGTGTGGATAGGGAAGTCTGGGCGTCTCTGCTTAGACTGCTGCCCCCGCGACCCGACAACGGATAAAGCGGAAGAAAAATGGATGGATGGATGTATTTCTTATTTTTTTTATTTATTTTATTTTATTTTATATATATATATATTTTTTTTTATTTAGTGTTACACAATTAACATGTGAAACACTACAACATTAATATCCATGGCTAGTTTTTTAACCTCTTAACTAACACCGGCGCGCCGGCGTGCCGTTTTTATGTTTTTAAATGTTCTGCTGGCAATAGCAGATGTATTTTGAACACCAAACCCCAAAATCTGTATATCATTTTAAAGCTCATTTTCTTATCTACATTTATATACAAGTGTAAACTACATCAGACTCTGCATTCAAAAGATATAACACATAATGTGGGCACAAAATAAATCAATTCCGAAATAGTTTTTTACCTTTGGGCTTGTGCTGTACAAATAAATCAGCTCTCCTCCCAGCTTGCAATACATCATTCTCTCTGGAACAGTCCAAAGGAAAATTATATCCACTTGTATTTCCCAAAGTAAAATCCATTCTGCAGAAATAATCCAAAAATGTGCATTTATCTTTAGCGAAAAAAAACGAAAAAAAAAGAGCACAGATGTTGTTCTTTCACTTTTAACGGACTTTTAGCTTTGTTTTTCACCCAAACAATGGTATCTACGTGTTCCTTAGCTCCTTATCTTTCAAATGAGACTACTCCCGAAAAGCTAGACCAATTTTTATAGAAACCACATAGAGCCATTGGTCCATAAGAGACAGAGACCAACGTCCATCAATGTTATATACACCATCCATTCAGAGGTCCCGTCGTCACGCCATGAAACAGACAATGGGACAACGGGTGAATAGCAATGAACAGACTACAGTCAAAATCCTGATACAGTAGGAAGGAGGAGAGGATAGCGCTGTTACCATACTTCTCCAGCAGGGGGCTCCAAATGCAGCTGATGGATTGATTGATAGTTGATCATATCATTCATTTTCTTCCGCTCCATCCGTTGCTGGGTCGTGGGGGCAGCAGTCTTAGCAGAGACGCCCAGAGCAGTATAGATCTGAACTCGGTCTTTTCTTTGCTTCTCTTTCTCTGCAAAAAAAGCCTCTTATAAACTTTTAATGTTTAATATGTGCCGCTTTAGTTCGCAGGGTCCAGTGGTGAAAACATGAAAAGAGTTTATGGAAAGTTCTGCAGCTGTCACAACGAAGCCGTCAATTTCTACAAAGATCTTCTGACAAAAGACAAACGTTTCAAGACCTTCATCAAAGTAAGTCACATGTCCTGAAGTCTTATTAGTTCTAGTCGCTGATGCTAACCATGCCCCAGGTATAAGTACCTGGGGCTGCAGCTGGACAACAAGCTGAGCTGGGCAGCCAACATGGACGCTGTGTACAAGAAGGGGCAGAGTAGGATGTACTTTTTGAGGCGATTGGCATCTTTCAGGGTCTGTGATAAGCTTCTCTACATGTTTTATCAGTCTGTTGTGTCTAGTGTCCTTTTCTATGCAGTTGTCTGTTGGGGGGGCAGTGCACGAAAGAGGGACACTGAGAGGCTGAACCGGCTCATTAGAAAGGCGGGCTCTGTGGTGGGTCTGGGTCTGGATTCAGTGGAGGAGGTGGTAGAGCAAAGAACGCTCTCCAAGATCAGGGTGATCTTGTCCAACCAGAGCCACCCACTGAATTCATTTTTTTCCCGCCAGAGAAGCACCATGAGCTCCAGACTCCTCTCTCTGAGGTGCTCCAGGGACAGATTAAAAAACTCTTTTGTCCCCAACGCCATCAGGCTCTATAACAAAGCCACTTCAGGGAGGAGCAGGGGGGGGAGGGAGGGGGGTGGGGTGTCTTGAGAATTGTTCTGCAGTGCCTTAACTTCTCTTTTAATGTTTTTATTGTTTTTAATGTATTTATTGTCTCGTTTTTAACTTTTGCATCCTATAATTCTTACCTGTGTATGTATTGCTGTATGATTGCGAGCAAGGGACGAGTGCACAATTTCCTTCAGGATCAATAAAGTATATATCTATCTATCTATCTATCTGCTAATGCTAAGTGTAGATGTAAGTGAAAGGAGGTGATTTATGGAATGGTCTGAATGATGATAAAGGGTTTGAAAATTATATAAATGTAATGTTATGAGGAAATATAGAGGATTAAAGTGAATCTACAATTTAATTCCTGACAACACAAACCAAATTAACTTTGACAACACAAAAACGTACAAAGAGTTTTAAATATGGCAACGTAACCCCGTGACCTCTTAACAATAGTTACTTTATCATTCACCTTTGATACTGTCACTTAAAAGACAATACGTTTCATTCATTAAAGGAGCAGTTTGTAAAAATGTGGCCCAAAATGGTACTGCAGCCTCTCCCACTCTCCCTGACTCAGGTTGCCAGATATGCAGACGAATCCAGCTGGGACCATAACAGCTGAATAGACAAGAGTTTTGTCAACAACAAATCTATAACCAACACCTTTTTCACAAAGATAGAAATCCTGGTTTTATTCCTTGTTTTGTCGTTAATGATTTGAGAATCATAACGAGACCTTTTTTAGTTCTGCGCCACATGGTACTTTACCAGTGAGATTAGCTCCACGCGGTGAGTTCTGGCGCCCGGATCACAGACTTTCTGATTGGTGAAACGGTGGAGGGAGGGACATCGAAATTATAACAATAACAAGATTTTGGGGCTTTAAAACTCATTTAGAAATTCAAATATCTCTGAACTACTGTTATCAGTTAAAGAAGTATTGGAAAAGAGCAGTTTATTATTATGACAGATTAGGGCCCTTTAATGATGACAGATTAGGGCCCTTTAATGATGACAGATGAGGGCCCTTTTATGATGACAGATGAGGGCCCTTTAATGATGACAGATTAGGGCCCTTTAATGATGACAGATGAGGGCCCTTTAATGATGACAGATTAGGGCCCTTTAATGATGACAGATTAGGGCCCTTTAATGATGACAGATTAGGGCCCTTTAATGATGACAGATTAGGGCCCTTTAATCTTACATATTGCTGTTTTTAACTCTAAGTCAGTAACCCACACACAACAGTGGAGTGAATAACTGCTTGTTTTTTTTTTCCAGAGAAAGATGAGCAGCAGCATAGTGCGGAGGCTCGGTATCCCAGAATGCATCTTGCTGGTGACCCAGAGGATAACAAAGTACCCGGTTCTCTTACAGAGGTTGTTGCTCCACACTAAAGGTGAGTGTTACAGATGGTTTTGAGTTCATTCTCACAGACTCAAGACAATGAGTGACCTGTGTTGATGGTAAAACTTCATTTCTAGACTCTTAGATTGTCACTTGTGAAAACACACCTGGAGGAGTTGTATTTTCACACTTTTTGATCTGGTCTAAAGTCCTTTTTCCTCATAGAGCTCAGTATAATCTGTCCCAAAAGTCTGTTTACAGCAGAGTGTTATGGGGACAGGGCCTGAAGACTGAGCCTCAGAGGTGCTTTAAGAAAACTGTCTCCTGCCAAATACTGAACCAGTGGATAACACAGAGATGGAGAGATAGATAGATCAGAGATAGAGAGATAACAGAGATAGAGAGATAGATAGATCCGAGATAGAGAGATAGATAGATCAATCAGATAGATGGATCAGATATATGTTACAGAGATAGAGATATACTGTAGATAGATCAGAGATAGAGATAGAGAGATCGGAGATAGAGATAGATAGATCAGAGATAGAGAGATCAGAGATAGAGATAGATAGATCAGAGATAGAGAGATCAGAGATAGAGATAGATAGATCAGAGATAGACAGATCAGAGATAGAGATAGATAGATCAGAGATAGAGAGATCAGAGATAGAGATAGATAGATCAGAGATAGACAGATCAGAGATAGAGATAGATAGATCAGAGATAGAGAGATCAGAGATAGAGATAGATAGATCAGAGATAGAGAGATCAGAGATAGAGATAGATAGATCAGAGCTAGAGAGATCAGAGATTGAGATAGAGAGATCAGAGATAGAGATAGATAGATCAGAGATAGAGAGATCAGAGATAGAGATAGAGAGATCAGAGATAGAGATAGATAGATCTGAGATAGAGAGATCAGAGATAGATAGATCAGAGATAGAGAGATCAGAGATAGAGATAGATAGATCAGAGATAGAGAGATCAGAGATAGAGATAGAGAGATCAGAGATAGAGAGATCAGAGATAGAGATAGAGAGATAGAGATAGATAGATCAGAGATAGAGAGATCAGAGATAGAGATAGATAGATAGATCAGAGATAGAGAGATCAGAGATAGATAGATCAGAGATAGATAGATCAGAGATAGAGAGATTAGAGATAGATAGATCAGAGATAGATAGATCAGAGATAGAGAGATTAGAGATAGATAGATCAGAGATAGATAGATCAGAGATAGATGGATCAGAGATAGAGAGATTAGAGATAGATAGATCAGAGATAGAGAGATCAGGATAGATACAGATAGAGAGATACAGTAGATAGATCAGAGATATATAACAGAGCTAGAGAGATCAGAGATAGAGATAGATAGATCAGAGATAGAGAGATCAGAGATAGAGAGATCAGAGATAGAGAGATCAGAGATAGAGATAGAGAGATCAGAGATAGAGATAGATAGATCAGAGCTAGAGAGATCAGAGATAGAGATAGATAGATCAGAGATAGAGAGACCAGAGATAGATAGATCAGAGATAGAGAGATCAGAGATGGAGAGATCAGAGATAGAGATAGATAGATAGATCAGAGAAAGAGAGATCAGAGATAGATAGATCAGAGATAGATAGATCAGAGATAGAGAGATTAGAGATAGATAGATCAGAGATAGATAGATCAGAGATAGATGGATCAGAGATAGAGAGATGAGAGATAGATAGATCAGAGATAGAGAGATCAGGATAGATACAGATAGAGAGATACAGTAGATAGATCAGAGATATATAACAGAGATAGAGAGATAGAAAAGGAAAAAGAGAGATCAGAGAGAAATAGAGAGATCAGAGATAGAGAGATAGATCAGAGATAGAGAGATAGATCAGAAATAGAGATAGATAGATCAGAGATAGAGATAGATAGATCGGAGATAGAGAGATAGATCAGAGATAGAGATACATAGATCAGAGATAGAGAGATAGATCAGAGATAGAGATAGATAGATCAGAGATAGAGAGATAGATCAGAGATAGAGATAGATAGATCAGAAATAGAGATAGATAGATCAGAGATAGAGATAGATAGATCGGAGATAGAGAGATAGATCAGAGATAGAGATAGATAGAGAAGAGATAGAGAGATAGATCAGAGATAGAGAGATAGATCAGAGATAGAGATAGATAGATCAGAGATAGAGATAGATAGATCAGAGATAGAGATAGATAGATCAGAGATAGAGATAGATACAGATAGAGAGATAGATAGATTCAGATTGCTGGCCCCAAGGCTGATTTTGCTAAACTGGAAGCTTCCCCCCGTCCTTCATATTTCCGTTGGGTTCAGTTCAGTTCAGTGTTTACTTCTTCACAATATCACACACTTTCTCATACATAGAGTTTGTGCCCATTTTTTGTGACACCGTGAAAAAATATGAGCTGAAGTTGGATGGATGACACTGTGAGCTTGCGTTTATGATCTCAAAGACTACTGTGGGTTAGCAAGGTTAGTTAGGGCCACATAAAATGACACTGAGGGCCGCAATTGGCTCCGGGGCCTGAGTTTGGACATGCCTGCTTCATTGCCTCATAGTGATCATTTTTTGCAGTGTAGATTTAAACATTTGTTCTGGTTAAACAGTGAAAGAAATTCCATCTAATGTTTACAAACCGTAACGAGGAAAACGCCCTCACAGGAAGCCTTGTCGCACGTGTTTTGGTTTTGGTGTTTTGCAGCAGAAACCGGTTTTATTGCTGTCTGTGTGTAATTAAGGCTTTTAAAAATACTCTTCGGAGGTGGTCTCTGCGAAATGGAAATGCAGGAGAATTAAAAGCACATTAGAATATCTTGGCACCACCTGCACCGCATAAACACCTCTCTGACTGTGCTCCTCGGCTCTGCCTGAATGTGCTCTGCTTAGTTTGGAAAAATACGGAATTTTATAAAAGATATGAACGACTTAGAATATGGAAAATGTCACGAGTTTGTGTCAAAACCAAATCTTTTTATACTTTGAGAATGCACAGGTTTAGCTTATTACTGGGATAACAAAAACATATGTGTGGGGTCAGGAATGGCTGAGTGGTTAGCCCTGTCGCTCCTCTGCAAGACGGTCCTGGGTTCGAATCCCAGGTCGCAACAGGGTCTTTCTGAGAGGAGTTTGAGATAAGATGAGAGATCTTTTATTCGTCCCACAGTGGGGAAATTTCAATGTTGCAGCGCACAGACAGGACAGTAGTAAGAGACACAGGGAGCACACACAATGTACTGCACACAATAAGTATTAGCAACGTTTCTTAACTGACTGTAAATACTTCAATATCAGTCTTTCAAAATATATGTATTATGTACTTACTTACCTATCTACCCACTTACAGTGCCTTGCGAAAGTATTCGGCCCCCTTGAACCTTTCAACATTTCGCCACATTTCAGGCTTCAAACATAAAGATATAAAATTTAAATTTTTTGTCATGAATCAACAACAAGTGGGACACAATCGTGAAGTGGAACTAAATGTATTGGATAATTTAAACTTTTTTAACAAATAAAAAACTGAAAAGTGGGGCGTACAATATTATTCGGCCCCTTTACTTTCAGTGCAGCAAACTCAGTCCAGAAGTTCAGTGAGGATCTTTGAATGATCCAATGTTGTCCTAAATGACTGATGATGATAAATAGAATGCACCTGTGTGTAATCAAGTCTCCGTATAAATGCACCTGCTCTTTGATAGTCTCAGGGTTCTGTTTAAAGCGCAGAGAGAACCATGAAGACAAAGGAACACACCAGGCAGGTCCGAGATACTGTTGTGGAGAAGTTTAAAGCCGGATTTGGATACAAAAAGATTTCCCAAGCTTTAAACATCTCAAGGAGCACTGTGCAAGCAATTATATTGAAATGGAAGGAGTATCAGACCACTGCAAATCTACCAAGACCCGGCCGTCCCTCCAAACTTTCATCTCAAACAAGGAGAAGACTGATCAGAGATGCAACCAAGAGGCCCATGATCACTCTGGATGAACTGCAGATAACTACAGCTGAGGTGGGAGAGTCTGTCCATAGGACAACAATCAGTCGTGCACTGCACAAATCTGGCCTTTATGGAAGAGTGGAAAGAAGAAAGCCATTTCTCAAAGATATCCATAAAAAGTCTTGCTTAAAGTTTGCCACAAGCCACCTGGGAGACACACCAAACATGTGGAATAAGGTGCTCTGGTCAGATGAAACCAAAATCGAACTTTTTGGCCACAATGCAAAACGATATGTTTGGCGTAAAAGCAACACAGCTCATCACCCTGAACACACCATCCCCACTGTCAAACATGGTGGTGGCAGCATCATGCTTTGGGCCTGCTTTTCTTCAGCAGGGACAGGGAAGATGGCTAAAATTGATGGGAAGATGGATGGAGCCAAATACAGGACCATTCTAGAAGAAAACCTGTTGGAGTCTGCAAAAGACCTGAGACTGGGACCGAGATTTATCTTCCAACAGGACAATGATCCAAAACATAAAGCCAAATCTACAATGGAATGGTTCACAAATAGACGTATCCAGGTGTTAGAATGGCCAAGTCAAAGTCCAGACCTGAATCCAATCGAGAATCTGTGGAAAGAGCTGAAGACTGCTGTTCACAAACGCTCTCCATCCAACCTCACTGAGCTCGAGCTGTTTTGCAAGGAAGAATGGGCAAGAATTCCAGTCTCTCGATGTGCAAAACTGATAGAGACATACCCCAAGCGACTTGCAGCTGTAATTGCAGCAAAAGGTGGCGCTACAAAGTATTAGCGCAAGGGGCCGAATAATATTGCTCGCCCCACTTTTCAGTTTTTTATTTGTTAAAAAAGTTTTGTTCCACTTCACAATTGTGTCTCACTTGTTGTTGATTCTTGACAAAATATTTAATTTGTATATCTTTATGTTTGAAGCCTGAAATGTGGCGAAATGTTGAAAAGTTATTGAAAGAATACTTTCGCAAGGTACTGTACTTTACCTACTTCCTTACTTAAGAAAAATGCTTGAAAACCAACTTTTTACAGTATTTTTAGCCGTTATGTTAAAATAAATTGGTGTTTTGACAGAGGGCAGCGAGGAGCAGGAGGACCTGACTGAAGCTCTGCGGCTGGTGAAGGAAGTCATCGCGGCTGTGGACGGGAAAGTGAACGAACACGACAAGAGGCGGCGTCTGAAGGACTTCCACTGCCGCACGGACACCAAGTCTATCATGATGATGAAGAGCGGACAGATCTTCGCCCGAGAAGACCTTCTGCGGCGGAGGCTCATTCATGACGGACCTTTGCAACTGAAAAGCAGCCAAGGAAGACTGAAAGGTGGAAGGAAGATTTTACTGCTCCCGGCAAATCAATCATCAATCAGTCTTCTATAACATGTTTTATTTTTGTTTCCAGACGTTCATGCGTTACTTCTATCTGATGTCTTTGTCTTTCTTCATGAAAAGGACCAGAAATACGTCTTTGCCATGCTGGTAAGAACGCCTTTATCAAGCTAACCTCTTCACAGCTCCTGCGTCTGTCTTCTATCGTGCGCTGACATGCTGCAGTACCACCCCGGGCCTGTGGGGGTGGACCCAGCGCAACAGTTAGCCAATGCTAATGTATAGCATCTTCTTACCTCTCAAAAATGGCTTTACAGGATGGTCCAAAGTAGCTCTTGGTCCAAAGCTAAGTTCCAGATGCTGCTGATGCACTGCAAAAAGTCCACTTAAAAAAATAAGAAAAAAAAAAGCTAAAATAAGAAAAATAATACTTAAAATAAGCAAAATTATCTGCCAACAGAACAAGAAATTTTTACTTGGTAAGATTTTCAAAAATAAGAAAATAATACTAGCCCTGTATGACCCACAGCGATCTTGAAATTAGTATATTTAGACCAAAAATAAGCAATATTGTCTTTTTTCAAGCTATAATGTTTAGAAATTGTTTCTTAATATCAGAAATATTCACTTATTTTTGGCCTATTTAGAATTGATTACTATAAATAAGAAAAATTAGCTTACTAATTAGAACTTGAAATAGGCACAGCTATTCTAAAAACAAGCACATTTCACCTAAATGTAATTATTTACAAGAAAAATATGCTTAAAATCAGAATTTAATTTAAGACTAAAAACCTTAAAACAAGAGTTATATAATAAAACAAAGAACATTATATCTTTCCACTCTTTTATTGTGCAAAATCAGTTTCAAGACCACAAACCACAGCAAAAACCAATAGCCAATCTCTTGAACATAAGGCTGGGCAATTAATCGAAATTTAATCGAAGTTTCAATCTCTACAAAACTTAAACAAAAATTGAGATTGATCAATATGGGGAAATTACTTTTTTTTCCAAAATCAACCAGCCCTAATTGAACAGGAGCCACATTTTAGGAGGGACTCAATGCTGCTGAACTACTTAAAAACTAAAACTGATGTTTGAATGGTCTTATTCATGAAACTTTCTCCATTCAGCCATAGCTTTTTTGTAGGAAGTAGTCATGTCCTTCTCATGGATGGCATCTAACAAAACGTCCGTCTGTAGCACAGACAGGAGGGTACCAATGCACTTAGGGTATGTGAGGTGAAAGGTGTAATAACAGCCAAGGAGATACATCACACTTTCACTGAGGTCTTCTTTGGGGAAAGTAAGCAGAGGGAACCGTTCCAATGGCCAGGATGCAGTTTGTCTCACAGACAATCACCACAGGGCTGACCAAGGGTCTTGATTGAAGATAAGTGTTGGGGTCCTCTGCTGACTAAAACAAAAAAGTAATTAAATCTTCACCCAAATACATAAGTTTGAACAAAGTACATGATAATAGAAACACTCCTTAACAACTGGGACAAACACATAGACAGAACGTAAACATAACAAAAAAATATATATATAATATTCTTACCGTCAAAATGTGAAACAAAGCATCACTTGGGTGTCCCAACCTCTTCGGCAGACCTACATGCGAAGGGAACATCTGAGGCAGTACTTTCAGGACAGCAAGTGCATTCTTTACTGTTTAAACAATAAGAATACATCAGAATCATTTTAGGCCTTTGTATGTGGGTAACAGCTGATAAATCATCCTTACCTTGGTCCTGCAATGGTGGCCCTATGAATTTTTTGAACACCCCATAAAACTGCGCCTGGTTAAAAAATCTCAGCCAACGTTTCTTCAGCTCCATTGTGAAGAAGGGGTTTCCTCTTGCAAGGATTCGGTGAAGTTCATCGATGATCTAACAGTGAGAGATTTAAAATAATACAAATAAATTAAGAGGCCTTTGCTCTAGTGAAATATACAAGTTAAGTGAGAAAAAAAATACTTACATGGCTAAGTTCTTTAAAACATGGATAAGCCTGCAGTATCTTCGTAGGCCTGTCCTGTTCCTTCATCACATCAGAGTCAATGAAAGCCCGTCTAGATTGGAACTCCAGTTCCAACAGCTGAGATACATCTTCCTTGTTTGGTTTGTTCTTAGTTTTGTACATATCCTGTAGAGTTTTATAGTGTCTTGCTTGGCTCTGTGGGCTCTCTGGGAATAGATAACAAACAAAAAGTATACAGAAAGTAAAAAAATACATTATATACAAATTAAAATATTTTCCAATAAGCATTAAGTAAATGTAAAAGTAAAGTAAATTCTAACCTACCACTCAAGAGATCCTCTTGGGAAGTAGATGGAGTTGACTTCTCTAGGATCACAGTGGAGGCAGAGGACGAGGCGACTGATGAGGCAGGTGAAGAGACTGAAGTAGGGGAGGAGAAAGGTTCATCACTCTCTTCGGTGCATGTCTCCTGGCTGCTCTGGAATTTTAGGCTTCGACGTCCTTTTCTTGATGGGGTTGCTCCTTGCTTCTTTTTTGGAGTTGTCACATTCTGAACCCTTTTCAACAACTGCTTCTTCAACATTTCCTTAAAAAACAAATCAATCAAAACAAAACCAATACCATTGGTAACAGATGAAAAAATCAAATCAATCAAAACAAAATGAGAGACTTACCCATTCAGGTGTACTGGGCGTAGACTTGTCTCGAAGCATTGGGTAGTATTCCACTAGACGTTTAGCCATGGCAGTCAGTTCACGGGGGCCTGGGTACTTAAAATCATCCTCGGACGCTCTTTTGATAGCAATCATGCTTGTAACTGTATTCCTAATGAGTCTACAGCGCAAGTCTTTTGGCATGGTGTAGTCATTGTCTTGTCCAGCACGCTGCTTTTCGAAGTAAGCACTTCTTGCTAGTTCTAGTTCTGTGTCAGTGTATATGACATACTCTGGACTAATGAGCCGCACCTTTTTAGTGGCACCAGAACAATCTTTATGTTTAGGTTTTGGAGAATTGAAGGGTGTTGGAGAGCAGATGTTGCTGTCAGAGGAGGAAGAAAGCAAAGGTGTAGGTGGGCTGTCAATACCAGAAGTGTCAAGGACTGGGCAATTGGATTTCTGACTCTGCAACATAAACACAACAGACATTTGGTCTCAGTTCTCATAGTTCGGGGCAAAACATTTTTACAAACAATAAATACAACTCACCTCCACATCACCATGAACAAGTTGCCAAATGTGTCTTCTTCTTAAAAAGTTTTCTGGTCCAGGAAACAGGTCTCGCAAATCCTCCTTAGTGAGGCTGGGCAACATGGTCATCTTCACACCAGCAGCTAATAAAAACAGATATTTTCATAAATATGGCAGTTATTACAGTTTAATATATGATTATTATTATTATTTATTAAAGTAAATAGTCCAATCAGTCGTATAAGTGTGCATTAACTCTTTTGATAGAAAAAAAAAAAAATGTGTATACCTGTAGCACACTAACATGAAATAATTCACATTAATGACAAAACTAGGTAACAAATGTCAAGGGTAAACGCAAATTAGAAGTGGAAGTAGTCTGTTAACACACGCTAAGCGTTAGCTAGTTAGCATTTAGCATGTTGCTAAAAGATAATACGGTAAAAACATTTTACCTTTTAATACTGAGGCTGACACACTGTCAATCTCTGGATATGTTTCGCTCGCCCCATCGTCATCCATGTTGGCTCTCCGAGATATCCAGCAAACACCAAAGTAAAAAGTAGAAAGATAAAAACGATTTTTTCTTTCTGAAAATTAACGGCTGCTTCTGTTTCACCGCCGAAAGAAGGACGTAGTTTGCCGCCAATGTTGATGCATTGCGTCGGAAGATACCAATTCGGTGAGAGGGGGGAGTGTCAAGTCAATGTTATGTCGCCATTTAATCGCTAATACGATGTTAATTTTGGCCAAGAACACTTTTTTCTTTACGTAAAGTATGTTTGTATAATAATATGTGACTGACACTCGCATTACTAGTCTATCATGCGTCAAACGTGTATGTCAATATTTTACGCCCCCCTCCCTAAGATAAGAATGTACTTAACTAGCTTTGGGAAATGCGCGTTCGTTTGGAACTTATTGACATTGAGCTGAAGAAAACAATGGTCTGGCGCTGCTGCATTTGTGCAGTTTTTACAACTTTTTCATTGAAGCTCTTACTGAGCCATATCAATAGACAGCATAGCCGCAGTCCGGACTTTTGGCTGCTATGCGGTATCGACGGGTGCACGGAGGATTACAGGGTTTACAATTCATACTACCATCACATTAAAAGAAGACACCCGCAGTATTTACGTGATGGTATCCAGCCAACTGATGAAGGAACGGGAGGTCAAACGGCGGAGGGGCGAGACGCAGGTGCACAAACATCGGGGGAGAACAGCTCCAGTTTGCCGCTGCTGCAAGTAAGTTGTTTCTTTCGAAAGCTAGCGTTAGCTTGTTTTGTTGAGTTAATGAAAAGGGGCGCGATGCACAGTTTGTGTAAGAATGTGATTTTGCTGTCGCTGTGTTGTCTTTGACACACATTTTCTTC